AATTTAAAAGTATCCCATATGTAGCAATAAATACGAATATATTTATGATTTCTTACATTTAAACGAATACTACACAATAAAAAAAATAACTTTTTCGGATTTAATAGCGTTTATTTCAACTTGTTTTAAATTCACGATGTTTCAATTACTTATTTACGATAGCCATGGTCACGGGAGACTCAAGTTTGACGTCCTGCAGCGTTAGCACATGAGTAAAGAAATATTCTGTGACGTTATAGCCACGTTGTCTATTTACAATAATTTACGCTTTAAAAAAGTAAAAAGAAAAAATAATAAAATCAAGTAAGTCATGTGACTGAACCATAGGGAAGTGTCATTCAAGTCAGTTTCAATTTTATAGTTTTCTGACGCGACGCGAACGATTGTAGAAAGTCAACATGGCTAATTCCGGTGATGGCTTTTACCCTGGGCTACCTTCAGCTTTTAATAATTTATTTTGGTCCGATCTACGTAGAACGAGCTCAGAGTAGCATGAAGTTTAACATGGTCACAACTAAACTACTTGTAGAGAATGCCTCAGGTTAAGTCCGCCTATACATCTCATTGTATGAAGTTTAATAAATAAATAAATAAATAAATATAGTAGCATCTAGTAATTCCTATATTGAAGTTAGATTTTTTTTCCAATTTTAACAGCCTGGCGAATCGTTTTTAGCAAACATCCGTTTTTTTTTTTAAAGAACATGCCCGATATTTTAATTATATTAATTACTAGCAATTCGCAAAGGTGATTTCTAGATTTCGACCTACGGGTCCAATTGTGAATCTAAACCACACACAAAAAAACACGCGTGAGTGTCGTGGACTCGGTTGGAACGAAGTTCCTTTCGTAGTATATTATTATTATTGATAACAAATACAAATAAATTAACTGCTAGCGTCTATTAAAATGAAGCGTCTTTTAAAATAATATTTCTTTCATGGCAAGAAAAGCGCGAGGGAGATGGAGATGGATATGACGGCTCCGTGGCGCAGTGGCTTAGCAATGAGTTGTTGCGCTGGGCGCGGCCCCAGGTTCGAATCCCGCACGGAACAAGATATTTGTATGGCCTACAAATAATTGTTCCGGGTCTGGATGTTGGTCCTCGTGCAATTTATGTTTGTAAACTGCCTCCACGATACAGGAGTAAATCCTAGTATGGGGGTTACGTTTAAAAAAGGTAAAAAAAAAATATTTTATTCCCCGCTCGCAATATAGAAAGGGGGTCGTGACGGAAAAATCTTTTTCTCGCCTTTACCCCATCCGCCAAATTCGTACCGTCCGATAAGGAACTTCGTTCCAAAAATTCAACATAATCGATCGAGCCAGTTTCGAGTTTCAGCGAGACTAACGGACAGCAATTGATTTTTATATATAGAAATAGATATGTATATTGTTTGTTATATTATTATAAATAAGTCTTGATATATTTATATGCGCTTATTTTCATTTGTTAATACATAAAAACCGGTTGAAATAAATATATAAATAAAAAGTATTCCCAAATTAGTTTGCCAATATTAACTAACTGTTTCAGAATGACACAGTACACGACGAAAGTGATACGACAAGAACCTCAATTATTTTCGGACAAAAAATCTCAATGTAGGTATATACATTCCACCCGACCAGACAATCGATTTAACCCGATTAAGCAATGATACGGTGTCACAACACGCGGTAACAATCAAACCGTCTAAAAGTTGCGTGATAAGTTAACCTTATACTACTAGCAGTGAAAGAATGACAATTTGTTGTCTATAAACGCTGTCTCAGTGGTACATTAATTTATTATAAGTTATGGTTTCTTAATGGTTGGGATCTTTCTGCTGACGGTATAAGGGGAACAAGTTGTTTGGTCTAGTAAATTTCACGTCTAATACCTGGCAAGTCTAATGGTCTCGAACTATTAACGGACGTTCTACATTACATACATTCTAAACATTAAACTTAAGAAACCGAACAAGTGCGAGTAAGACTCGCGCCCTGAGTCGCCAATAAACTAAATTATGTGCTATAAGTTTTAATGAGTGAGTTTGCGAGTATGATGTCGATATTTGCAAACTCATGGGTCGCTTCGACCGGATTAGTACCAATATCTCACGGAATACCAGCGTAAAATAGCAGCTTAATGCTGCTGTGTTTCGTACGGTGAGACTAGAGAACCGAAGACACTTTTTAATGAAAACGTGGCATTTCATATAAGTCCTCAGGGATGACAACGCATCTGCATTTTGATATTAATCGAGGGTAGATGTTGATGTCTATTGGCCACAGCATTCACTTACAATCAGGTGGATGGTGTTCTGGTTTGCACCAATATTTCCATAAAAAAAAATTAAAATGTGTAACATAAATGACGACGACGTATCTTTTGATTGCGTTGACTTAGAAGCTTGCACCTCCAAGGATTGTAGACCTTATACCATTTCTTATTAATAACATCTTAATAGCTCTAACCTTTCATGATAAAAATTATATTAGTCTTAGTTTTAGAGGAACCCTAAAGACAATCAAACCGATGACCAGTTGCAGCTTCTAAGGTCAGGCGGTTGAAAATTTTATGTTTAAATCTCTCAATTTTGGAAAACGAAACGCAACGTAAATGTAAAAAAAATTAAACATTTAAAATTACAAATAAGGAAACCTGCAATGCACTTCAAACAAAGAAAGTCACAAATGCGCTGTTATCTCTGAGGAATGAGATGTAGTAAGCCTCACATTTAATTATACCCACACTCCATAAGATTCAGACCGGAATACACCGCTGTTACTTAGTGGCAGAAATAGCAAAGAGGATAGCACCAATCCAGGTAGTATTTTAAGCAGAAAAGAAGCTCTACAAGCTAGTAAATGATGATGAAGACTTTCGTTAGTTATCCATAACTACTATAATAACATAATAATATGTCATCACTTCATACCTGCTCACTACTATCGAGTTCTATTGTAAAGATACACATAACATATTATGAAATCGAATATTTTATTGATTTGAAAGTTTGGCAAAGTATCTCGGAATTACGCAACTACCAGCCAAAAATCTTTACCTCAAGTGCACTTATTCTAAACGAAACTTCAAATTTGGATAACATCCAAAAGCACCAATAATGCCGCATCGTTTTATCAGCGTCCCATAAAACAGGGAAGCTTTCTTTGTTTGAAGTAGAATCGGCCATTATGTGGTATGTTTAAGTTTTTCTAGTCTTATCACTTTAATCTTCTTCATTAGCCCATTGAAGTCCACAGCTAGATATGGGTTTCTCTGTTGAAGGGAGGATTTACCCTAATCTTCACGCTCGGCAGATGGATTGACGATCGCAGTAAGACGTCTAGTATTGTGGGTGGCATATCTCATAGTCACCTCTTACGACTCTCATTCACTTACTCAATCGTCATTTGAAGGTTTTTACCCTTTAATTATACTCTAAGTTTTTACCCTTTTCCAATGGACAAAGAGATATCACATGCTGCCCGGCTAGGGCGGGGGACAAAAATTTTATTCCCCGATTATATCCACTGACAAGAGATAAAATTATCTTGTTATGTCAAATGGGGAGAAGTATATCCCCGTTTGACATAACGAGTAGACATATATCCCCCGTCCGTAGCATGGAGCCAAATGAAAGATAAAAAATTATGTTTTTTTGACATTTGAAAGGGACAATTTTATCCTAGTTCATTGGACGTGGGTTGAAGTTTATATTCATACAAAAAAATATATCTAAGTCTATCTCCCAATTTATCTACCGTGGATATTATAGCCACCGGTGTGCCCATGCTCTAAGGGTGGATAAAACTAAGCGAGGGGATAAACATTTTCTCCTTTCCCCGGGGATAAATAAAATTGTCTCCTGCCCATGCTAGCCCAGCTGAAGGCAACAACTATAATATCATCTAAATTATTTTTGTTCCATTATAAACTTAATTCGCTATTATTTCACTCTTGTGAACATGTCAAACGCTACTCAATTTGAAGACGTCGTTAAGTATCTTGGTGTCACAGTCTCTTTGACTTAAAGTAATAGAGACAGCACGACACTTAACGGCATCTAAAAATTGAGCAGCGTTTGAGTATTTGGCCATTACGTGTGGATTTTTTCTTCAAATTTATATGGGACCACTCTGGGGGTATATTTAACATTAGTACTTTTTACTTTACTTACTTTACTTATCTTCACGCACAATCCCTGACGGGGTAGCCAGAGAGAACAGATCGCCAAGTGTCACGATCCTTACAAACCTCTTTCGCTTCTTTCAGATTCATTATCTTCATTATATTATTTTAGTACTTTTAATTTAATATAAGGCCTTTTTAAAAAGGTATCATTAAAATCGGTTCACAACAAGCGAATATAGCGCGTGAAATACATCATACAAAAATACAGTCGAATTACGGATGTCCTCCTTTTTTAATTTGGTTGAAATCTATTCCCAAATCGAGTGATTACCCCATAATGGCTTTTGATTGGCTAACTTAAGAAGCTGCTCCCGGTTACCGGTGTGGTTGTTTTTTGGGAACGGCTGGACCGAATTCGACGGGACTTTCACTTTCAGATAGCTGATGTTATAAGGCGAAACTTAGGCTACTTATATATTTTAGAAAAAGAATTAAGGTTTCACGCAACATAATTAAAAACCCTAAATTACACGCGGGCGAAGTCGCTAGTTACTCAATATTTTTCGTTTGATGTTCCCGTTTACGACGTTGACGTAGAAAACGTAGCAACGTACGAGTACTCGTAACTTGATGCTATTTTTACAACTTTGACAGTATGGGTATACCTATTATTTTTTAAAGGATCGCGTCGATTTTATATTTAATAATATAATATAGAAAAAACTGCACTGTGTCGTTGTGTGCATGTAAATTGCGTAATACAAAAAAAAACTAGGTTTAGAACCATTATTAGTTTAAATTATCGTATTATGTTTAGAGGAAAAGTGTAAGTAATCACACTCCTCTTTCTGGTGCGATAGCATAAAAATCTATACATACCTGTGTTGTATTGAAGCGACGACTTCCGGACCGACTGAGGGTGCCTCCTCTCACATTGCTGTCTGAGAGCTCCACCTCGACACCATCAGCCGCACGTCTCCTTGACAACTCGCAAAGCTCTGCTATTGGTTGTACCTGTACATAATATACGTTTTCTTTATTCATAATTTTAAATTATTTTTTATCCGTTGTCTACGTAAACTATGTAAACGCGAATTACCTACTTCCATAATTCCAACAAAATTGAAAACAGCAGAGTTGTCAAACCTGAGGACTAAAGTGAAATGCCTCATTACTAGCAGGCGATACTATAAATGAAAAATATTCAATAATACGAGTATCATTCAAAAACAAATGACTATGCCTTGTTCTTAGATAAAATTCTAACAGCAGATATTTGTTTTAGCTTAACTTATTAATGACGCACTACACCCAAGTAAAAGAGTAGGCTGTTAAATGATTATCAACTTAAAACGAAGGCAATTAAGTCCAAAACTATCTGTGCCGTGTGATAAAAGTAAAGAATCCATCAGCCTATCGGAGTTGTAGGTAGTATTATACAAAAAAAATCTCGTATTTTTCAGCTTAGAAGGCGGAATAACCTAAAATTTCAGCAAATCTTAAACCACCAAGCCTGTGACAATCATCAAGCCTTTTGAGCCTAGGTAAAGAAGGCAAGCTACTTTAAATGATTTCCCGATGTCAGTATTTCATTTATGTGAAACTAATTATGGGGGGTATACCTCAAAACTTGAAAACGAGACTGTACACCCAGTGCGTGTTGCCAGTGATGACATACGGAACTGAGACGTGGTCCTTCACTGCTGGCCGGATGAGGAAGCTCAAGGTCGCTCAGCGAGCTATGGAGAGGGCTATGCTCGGAGTTTCTCTGCGTGATAAACTCAGAAATGAGGATATCCGCGGTAGAACCAGAGTGACCGACATAGCCCAACGGATTAGTAAGCTGAAGTGGCAATGGGCCGGCCATATAGCTCGAAGAACCGACAACCGATGGGGAAGAAAGATTCTCGAGTGGCAGCCTCGTACCGGCAGGCGAAGTGTAGGGCGTCCCCCCACTAGATGGAGTGACGACCTGGTAAGATTTGCAGGAAGTCGATGGATGCAGGTGGCTCGGGACCGTGCTTTGTGGCATTCTTTGGGGGAGGCCTATGTTCAGCAGTGGACTTGTGAAGGGCTGTAATGATGATGATGATGATGAAACTAATTATATGCGAGTGGTTTCTGTTTTGAATGCCTGTTTGCATCAAAATCAGTTATTGGATTTTTTTGTGAAGAAATTTTCAGCAGCAGCCCGGAGTCAAGAAGTTGGCGGTGTTTTAACCCCGTGCCTGACTGAAGCCTGAATCATAAATATCTGTTTGATTTCTTGTCTGTTATTTTAGTTTTTAGGAGTTTTAAAAATAAAACCCACCTACTCAAACGATTGTAAATTTACAGATATTATCGAAATTAATAATTCTAAAATATCTTAAACCTTAAGTAATAAACAACATAATGAAATTGTATATTTATTTTTATTCGTAATCGTAATCAATTCAAGCGCCCGAGAGCCCGCGACATTTTATTTTTTATTTCACCCTATGTGGCCTCGCTGGTTAGTGTTACGTAATGCAATAAGTAAAATACCCATTTATCATTCATTACAAGCTTTCATATCTATTATACTTCGCTTTGCCCTATAAGATTTTTGTATGCAAACTATTAAATTAGCTTGCCAATGATTTAACACACTTTCCCTGCACAAGACAGTGGAGTTTATATCAAAAAAGCAAAACAACGTATTCAGTAAGTGAGAAAACATAAACAGATTGTTAATCACTAAGTTAATTACAATTACGCTAACTTGTACAACTTTAAGAATATTAAAAATAGAAAAAAATCGTTTAATAACCAGGCTGCTGTCCTAACGGTACATTTTCCTCGTAAATAGCAACCAACACGCTGAATTATTCAACAAATACAACGTAACTAACGATCTGTTAAAAACCAATCAATCTTTCTTAAATCATTTTAAGGTCGTCGACCACACAGTAACATCAATAATGAAAATTTATTAATTTATTTTTCTTAATTATAGGAGCACGTCACAATAAATTAAAAAATGCCAGTTTTATTAACTTTTAGCCCTGTAAGTAAAAGATTTATTGATTTATGATCATCATTACGAATCCACTGCTTAAAATATGCCTCTCCCCTCCTCCTCCTTCCCAGTATGCCGTTAAGTTCAGCTTTGAGACAGCAACCTTCACTTGTCTTATTACGCCATCCCGCCATTTAGTGGGGAACCGCCTGCTCTAACCTGTACTTTCTTCAGTTCTTAAACGCGGGCGATTGCAGCTATGTAACGATAGAGTTGGCGCAGGACGCAAAATCAGGTTCGAGTGGTTGGAGGAAGGAATGCCCGAAAGCGTAGCCGTGATTGTGCCGTCAGCCCCAAAAGGTGGAAAATTGACGTCAATTTGGGTCAAGAAAGAGACAAAATAATTTGTAGGAAGACAAGAAAGTGCACGCGGGAATGAGTCCCACGCAAATACAGCGAGCATCTTCCGAGATTCGGCCCATATAACTACGAAGTTAGTGGGGCTATGGGAGGTGGAATGACATCCGCCCGTCCTTGATTTCATTAGACGAAATTGTCAAACTTAACATTTAGGTTTACGTGTAACTACCTACTACTAGTAGAACTATCCAGACCCTTTTACGTCGCTACTACATGCCATCAAATGCCATAATTTCATCCAGTTAATGTAGTATGAAGCGACAGAAATGAAACAAGATATGGGCAGCACCATCTTCAAAATAACAACAGAAAATAAATTAAAATACTGCGGTTGCCAATTCGCCTGCCAAATGTGGCAACTATGGCAAATATCCCCGTAATATTCGCGTAAATATAACAAGTCATTATATATAAACTTAATTTTCAAACAATGCTCACCTTAATGGTAACAGAATCTTGACTCCCCTTGATTAGTTCAATCACTTCTTCTCTACTCTTTCCCTCTACGTTTACTCCATTTACTTCGATAAGTCTATCACCAGGAAGTAGTCCCGTCTCACTTGCTCCTGGATAAGAACCGGGCTCAGCAAGAATCACAGCCTTATGTGTCAACTTGGAAATCATAAAATTACCGTTGCATTTGCCCTCACCGTTATTTAGACCGTTTTCTTCATGACCACTCAATTCTTTAACGTCACCTATAAAAACTCGTTCTTGTACCATAGCGCGTCGGAGGCTGAATCCGAAATCGTTTCGGGGTGCTTTCTGCCTTTGTATAGTCAGTACTCTGGGTTTTGGTAATTGCAACGGCTTTAGTGCGGGTAAAGGTAAGTATACATCGTCGAACGTACTTGTTCTTGACCACCTATGAAAGCCTTGGGATTCACCCACTGGTGAAGTGGAGAATGGTGGAGTGGCAAAAGACGAGTTTGTAGTTGTGTCGGTCAAGGAATCAGCGCTTGGTGACGTCGAAGTCACGCCTTGATAGCTATTGCCATTTGTCTTTGGTATATCGTCAACGTCTTGAGTAGTGATTGAGGGATTCGCGTTATTTTTATAGTTCTTATATTGATTTTCTACCGGACTATGAATTACTTTTTTGGTGAAGTTTTGTATTTGCTGCATATCGTCACTAGACGAGGTGCTCTTAGACGGTGGGATTCTGTATGAAATCAATTCGTTTTGTTGCGTATTCCGAGCAACAACGTTCGAATCTTGGCCATTTATATGGTCAACTGTGTCAGTGTTGTGAACGCTGTTCTCTTGTGAATTAGAACTAGTATTGCTCAAACGTGGACCTTTTAAGATGCCTCGTTTCGGTGGTCGCGGTGGTATTGGGGGTAGATTTTGTGCTTGTCGTGGACTGCTATTTGCATTATGCGGGTTATTTAACGAATTTAAAGATGTCTCGGAACTGTCAGATTGTAGAATCCCTTCCTTTTTGTTCCAATTATTATGCGGGGTCGGGTATCCGGGAGAGAGATGGTTATTATCGTCACTGAGATTGGAATTGGAGCCTGAAGTTGAAATGATTGGATAACTCGAATAATTTGAATCCTGCTCAAGATGTGCAAATAACGAGGCAGTGTAATCAGCTGTGATACCAGAAGGCAGTTTTTCTTTTTCCTTGCGTCTGCCTCTAAGTTTGAGGGATCGTCGGACCTGTGAACAATAAAAAGGTTATATTAGACAGTTAATTTTAAGGTATAAAGTATTTTATATAAATAACCCAGTAATTTTAAGTGATAGAGACTGAACCTGACTTGCTGTGTAGACTATAACATGAAAGCAATTATTAATCCAGTTGCAAATGATTGCTCGAGCAAGTAAACAAGACAGACAGCTGACATCTAATCTCTATATAGCGTCCGGCTAAATCTGCGGTTGAAAACTTGTTTTATGTGTTAAAAATAGGAGTGAGTTTAGATTGATCGCAATTCAACTTTCAATTTCGCATCAAAGACGTAAAGAGACATAACAGTAATGGAAACTGTGATGAAAGCCGTCAAGTTCCCGCAATTGCAAAAAAACCGCATTCCACGGGAGCGTGCCACATCGGACAATCCGCCAACGCTAATGAAAGTGTAGGCACAAATTATTTAAAACAGGTTCCAGATTCATTCGCGTCGTCTGAATAACTCAGAGCCTTTTGCGCTATTAACGCGTATACCAATTTAGTTTTTTGTGTAACTGGACATGTAGTGGAATCAGTTTTATATATATGTATTTACGACTGTGTTATAAAGACGTTAATAAATTAACTGTTAATTCGAATACTTATAAGCTATAAATAAAATATTACCTTTCTTTCCTTTTTTTTAAACGTAACACGTCCACACTAGGATTTTCTCCTGTATCGTGGGGACACAAGGACAAACATCCAGACCCGGAAGAATTATTTGTAGGCCATACAAATTCTTGTTCCGTGCTGGATTCGAACCCGCGACCCTTAGTGCTGCAACTCAATTGCTTTAATTTTCTTACTTTAAGTGTTTTGATACTTTTATATTTAAGTTTTTTTAGTTTTTTTTTTATTACTTTTAAAAAAAATACTGGTAATGCTAATAACATCACTAATATTCCCTTTAACCACTCCTGGTTAGTTTAAAATGCTTGTGTTAGGAATGGTTCACGACAGTAGTCGAAACACGGATTCGAACCCACGCCCTTTGAGTTAGTGGTTACTGCTTAGCTGGATCTTAGCTTTGCACTGGATGCGGTCAAGTGGGAGGAGCTGGCACTGGGGTGCCCCGGCCAAGAGATGGGAATAGTATTTCATGTGAGGACGAACCTGCACCTTGTAAAGTTGCAGGCGGTGTGCCGGCTAGAAATACTGTCCTGCTTTGCTGAGCAAGCCAAGCCTTTTAGAGGCCAATTTGACCTTTTCTCCCAAGTGATCACGAAACTGCACGTAATCACTCGATATGTCGACGCCGAGGATTCCGATTTTGGCTAAGGCAACAAGGGGAGTGCCTTGAAACTGAGTGGATACGACAAAGGAGTTCTTTTTAGCGGTAAGCGCGCAAACTTGTGTCTTCTGAGGATTAAACTGGAGTAGATTTAGTCGCCCCCAATCCGATACTTTGTACAAAAAAGTCTCGACTTCCGACACAAGTTAGTTCCGGTGCTCGGTGACGTTTTCCCGAGAAATATTGGCACGGCCGGTGTATAAAACATCACCAATGCTGTCGTCCGCAAAGCATTGAATGTTACCAGTTTACATGTCATTGATACTCAGAAGAAACAGCGTTGGTGATAGATAGCACGCAGCCTTGTAGAACACCAGCGTTAATAAATTAATTTGCAGTATTGTATACACTATACTGCAAATTAATTTATTAACGCTGGCGAGTTGAACAATCGAAGACAATAACAATCACATTTTTGCTTCACTGTTTCTTGTAAATAATATCAAAAACTACCCTCTCAACAAAAAAAAATTATAGTTTTTTTGTAATTAAAACTGTTACTTTGTTGAAATAAATTTAAAAAAAAATAGGCTTGTAATCAAAGCATGCACCGTCTACTACGACCTTGATGCTCCGATCAGCAAGGAAGCTAGTGATCCAATTGCGCTTCTTTCGAAGCTCCCTTCCTATGGAGGAAGGGAGCTTCGAAAGAAGCGCTTTGTGCCAAACCCGATCGAATCCAAACTAACGACCAACACGACCCGCTTGGACTCTACTGCCTCCGCCCATCCATGACAGGTAGACCAGAAGATCACCCAGGCGGTCACTAATCAGTCACTTCATAAACTGGCAGTTTATAATGGTTTCCATTATTTTGGAGAACAAGGGGGTGATGGCGATAGGCCTGTAATTGGACGTGTCTGAGCGATCGCCTTTTTTAGGGATCGGGTGGATCAAAGTCTTCCATGTATTCAGGATTACCCCTGTGGAGTAGGAGTACCGGAAAAGACACGTTAAAACCGGTGCGAACTCGGGAGCACACGCCTTCAGCACAATGAGAGGGACTCCATCAAGCGCTAGTGTTTACATCCCGAGAGGTTGATGCGTCAGCCCAGGCCCGATAGCACTCCTGCTTATAGCGTGATGCTTACAGGAGCGACCGAATCATGGCTGGGATCTGCCTCCGATGAGCGCCACAAAAGATGAAATAAAAAGTTCCATACCCTGAAGTACCACATCAGCGACAGAATCAGCAACAACGCTGGGATCGTCCGGCGAAAAGCAAACCCGCCCCCAAGGTTAGGATGCATAAAAAGGCCGCATCCTACCGACCTATGGTGAACACGGCGGCAGCCTGCAGAAAGCAACCGCGACGTTACTTGATAAATAAGGAGAAAAACTGATGACGGAGTTGCCCTGTGTTTTTGTTGCCCGGTTTCATTCATTCATATTGTTTGGTTTGTTGGTACTCCAAATAAGTTTGCAATTTTTGTACTAATTTCAATGAAAAAGGGCATAGAATTCACGTTGTTCTGTGTACGACTTTTTATTTATTCACTTCTTTGACTTCATACATTACGTGAGCGGCCTCAAATGCAATGAGACATTCTCTGCTAGTCACCTTTAGGTGATGCAAAAATAGAAATAAAAATTAGGTGTAGAAGTTGAAAATTAAAAGGAATATAAATTAAAATTTAAGCATATAAACTTTAAAATATATTTGTATTTTTTCAAATTCGACTGTATAGAGCCTAAAAAGAGGACATGCGTGGCGTGCGAATAGGTGTATTCCTTGTTCTTGTTTTGAATAATAATTTTCTTGCGACATTCATTAAAAGTAACAAAATAATATATACACATTAATATTTAACACTCTAGATTTAAAATAGAAGAAAGCTGTACTAACTAGTTTGCAAATGCCATAAGACAGCGTCAAATTATACTACAGCTGAATGACAGGCGTCAATTAAAATGTTAAATTGTAGTTGTAAGAAATATTATTATTGATCAGAAAAATAATTGCCATCATCATCATCATCACAGCCCATCGAAAGTCCGCAGTTGATCATACACACATTTCCTCCTGCAAGGAATGCTACAAAGCACGGTCCGCTTGCAGTTTATCGACTCCCTGCATCTCTTACAGGTATTCACTCAAACTTGTTGGGGGGTGGCACCCTACTTTATTATGTCGTAATTACTACTTATACTAGTACTTTAGTGTTGGTGCGAAATATTACTATATTCCTTACGATTTTTGTAAATTACCTTAAGATTTTTATTGATTATCATCATTATCATTATTCTAGTCTAAAGCAGCCAGTCCTAGCATGAAACTCAAAGTTAAGAAACAAAATCATGATTATTAAATAAATAAATAGCCTTTTTATTTTTATTTTTAGCAATTAGTAGCCGACTTCAATAAAGGAAGAGGTTCTCACTTCAACTATATGTCATTATTTTGTATGTATGTTACGAGAAATCTTCGTCAATTATTGTGAACAGATTTCAACGATTCTATTTTATATAGTACATATACTTTATATTATTTCTATTTTATTTAGTTACATTTTATATTCTATATAGTAGGTTATAATACTTCAGGGTCCCGTATAAATTTGGAGGAATATTACATCCGCTAGAGAGCCAATGGCCAATTAATTAAACTTTTGATAAAATTTAAAAGCCAAAACTTCAAACAACTATTAAAAAAAATCCCACATAATAGGGTTTAAATTGAGGCTTTAATTATTCTATACACTGTCCTAGCACCGACTCCAAAAGCTATGACATAATAAATGTGAAAATTATTTATTCTTTGTTCGTTGAATTAGGTTTTTCTTTTCATTAAGTTTAATTTTCAATATCACATTTTAAATAAATTAATAAATGCATTTTTGTTACTGTTCAATATTATTTTTACAATTATTGTTATGATTATTATGTTATTTTTATTATATACTATTAATCAATATTAAAATGATTAGGCTTAAAAATGATATTTTGCATATCATCGAATTTCACTAATCTAACGAACAAAACTTATTATAAGTAAAACAGATAATCAAAGTGAACACTTTTTATTTCATTTAGAATTGTTTAAAGTTTTTATAAACGTCAGAATCTCAAAATCTACATTGCAATATTTCTTGATTTTCGTAAACCATATATCCACAATAAAAAAATATCCCCGTCACTTTAGTGTTGCCACAAGGTAATTAGTAGTGTGTATTCCTTGTAACCACTAGGGCTTAAAAAAATACTTTTTAAGATGAGCCCAAGTGATACAAAATATAGATATAGATTTTCAAACTTGATTTTATTGTAGACTAGCTGTTCTCCGCGACATCGCCCGCGTGTAATTTAGGGTTTTAATTATGTTGCGCGGAACCCTAATTCTTTTTCTAAAATATAAGTAGCCTAAGTTACTCCTTATAACATCAGCTATCTGCCAGAGAAAGTCCCGTCGAAATCGGTCCAGCCGTTTTGGAGATTAGCCGGAACTAACAGACAGACCGACAAATAGACAATTTTTTTAAATGTTTTGTTCATATATACTTTCATATGCATAAAGTAAAAAACTGTTATTTTGACATTACAAACTTACACTTCAATTTTATTTCTTTGTCATCTATACAATGTATAGATAAATCTCAACTACGAGGGCGGCACTGAAAATTTCGGGAATCAAGGAAGTGACACAACATTACTACTTAAAAATGTATTTATTGCTTTTCGAAGTATTCTCCGCGA